TTTGCTTTTTGCTGTGAAATTTAACAGAGAGCAGTAAACAAAACAAAAATTTCAAAAATCAATTATTGATCACAAAATGAGCACCTGTCAAATATCACTGGAATTGAAAACGATCGAATGCGCCTAGCACCTCAGAAGTAACCTCTAATCACAATCCATTTTTGTCCCCAAAGGTACTAGTCCCTTGACTTTTATGGAAATCACTACTTTACCACTAATCAGACATTCCTAAACACTAGCTTTGCATGCTTTTTGAAATTTATATAATAAATTATGCATTCTTTTGTGTCTGACTGTTTTGGCTCAACAATGTTTGAAATTCATTCATTTTATTGCATGGAGCTATAGTGAGTTTATTTTCAGTAAAGCTTTTTTTTTCCCCTCAATAATGTATATTGTTTTATTGTATTGATATACTGCAATCTTTATCCATCCTGCTATCCACAGGCATTTATGTAGTTTTCAGGCTTTGGCTGTTACAAATAGTGCAGCTATGAATTTTCTTATATGTGTTTCTTAGTGTTTATGCCTGAAATTACTGAGTCATAGAATATATGTTCAATGTTAGTGAGCACTAAGAATTAATTTTTGGAAGTTTTTGTATGATAAGGGCATGAAGGTTCCCTTTGCTCCTCATCTTCATCAACACTTTACATTGTCTACCTAAAAGCTGTTTTGGTGAGTGTGTGGTAGAGTATCACTATAATTTGAATTTATATTTTCTTGATTATTAATGAAGTTGAGCATGTTTTTGTAAGTTTATGCCATTTGGATATCCTCCTTTGTGAAGTGCCTGTTCAAATTTCTTGTCCTTTATTCTTTCGGATTATTTACCTTTTAAATTTTAATCGATTCATAGGTACTCTTTACATATTGAGAGTAAGAGGCCCTTTGGAAGTAACCTGATACTTCCTCTGGCTGGTGTTAAGATATTTTTGTGTATGTTTAATTTTCAAAAATTCATTAACGGTGTGCCTAGTTGTGAATATATTTTCATTTACCCCTTATGTGAATTCTTAAATCCATGATTTGATGTCTTTCATTAGTTTCGGAAAATTCTCAGCCACTATCTTTTCAACTATTGCTTCTATCCTGTTTTCCAGCTCTTCCTTTTGGGATTTTAATTAAATTCATATTAGACCTTCTCATTATGTCCTTTATATCTCTTACTCTTTCTTTTGTATTTTTCATTCCTTTGTTTCCTATTCCTTTCTGGAAATTTTCTTCGTGAATTATCCTTTCATCTTTGCTAATATGCTGTTTAACTTTCAGTTGGGTTAGATTGTAACTTTCAATTGTTATAGTATTTTGTTCCAGAAATTTCATCATAAAAGTCTCTAGTTCTTTGCCACAATTTTCAATCTTCTCTTTTATATTCTTGAACATAAGAAGCACAGTTTTTTTTATCAGTTTAAATGTGATAAAATGAATATCTGGAGCCCCTGTGGGCCTGATTTTATTGCTTGGCTCTCTTGCTGGTGTTGTCCATGTAGTCTTATTTCCTCTTGTGGCTGGTTATTTTTGATTGTGTGCTGAGTGATGTGTGCAAAATTGCTTGTAGGAATACCTTGAGGTTCAAGGTGCCATTTCTTTACAAAGAATATTTATTTTTGTTTCTCCTAGATGCTTGGAGGTACTAACAATTTGAGATAACCTCAGTTCAATTTTAGGGTTTGAAATTATTTGAAGTCCCTAAGATGCCCTGTATTCTTTTGAGTCCCAAACCAAGAGCATTCATCCACACTTTTCTTGTGCTGACCTCTTCACTGTCTGGGTCTCACTTCTTCAGATTTTGTCTATTCAGTGCTTATTCTCTGATCCAGATGTCCCCACTTCTACCATCCAGTATCACTCCACTTCTTATCAACCAACTCCACCTCTTTTCTTCTCATCAATAATCTTACCTCTCATCAACAAACTTCACCTCTTATCTTCCCTCAAGGTAGCAAAGTCCCCCTTCTCTGTATAGGCTACCTTGATCGCCAAAGCTCAATGTGACCTGTCCTTCTTTTGAATTCCTTTAACGTTTTATGTGTTTAACAGTTAACCAGATATATGTTAATTCATCTCTTAACATTGTGTCTGTGTGTGTGTGTGTGTGTATGTGTGTATTGTGAAGTCCTTGAAGGAGGGCACATATCTTCTGTGTAATCTCCTCAGCTCCTAGCCCTTTGCCTTGCACATGGTGCGTACTCAAAATATATAATTGATTGAGCATAATCCAAAAGTTATGCCATACCGAGACCTTCATATTACATCACAGCACACCACCACACTACAACACATCACAATGCATCCCTGTATTAGAAAGATCCCATTGCCTTCCCTGCCCATAGACGTACTCTGGGAGCCCCCAGTGAAGGCAAATAACCAATCGTAAGCCCCATTTCCCTATTATAGCTGATTTCACTGGTGTATATCCCTGACCTTATCCCTCATCAGTTCCTTTGTCAAGATTAAAAAAAAAAGAGATACATACATTTTTAGCTTGAAACTAAAAGTGATAATAGCCTATCTGTAAAAGGTCATGTAGATTCCGTAGGAGAGTACAGAAAGAAGTAAAAGTTATGGAGATAAAGAAACTGTGATAATCAAAGAAAGCTGACCAATAAAGCAGAGGAAAAGAGAATTTGTACAAAAAGACTGAAAGAGATGAGAGTCCACATGGCCTCTGAGCGTCAACTTTTGGTCCTAGCAACTTCCCAATATCTTCTCCCACAGGCCTCAGTCTCTGTGTCTGTGATTTTAGGTCGTGCATCCGAACCTCAGGGAATTGGGGTAGGCTTCTATTTCTGGATACATTTTGCCTGAATTCTTTCAGTTTGGGTGCCTTTGGTTGCATATAAAGCAAACCAGCTCTGGTTATCTTAGGCAAAATGGGTGTATTGAGAAGACGAGGAAGCCCAGAGCCACTAAATGGCTAGAGGATCGGGCGTGGCAGACAGACGGGAGCTGAGCGGCCCCGGAGGACCAACTACAAGAAACTCAACCACTGCTGCTAGCAGGACTCGTCTGGCCGGAACGCTCCCACTCTTGCCGGACACTGTGTGCCACCACTGGGCTCCACTGCTGGATGCTGCTGCTGCTTTTGCGATGCAGTCCTCTTCTTTCCTTTTTCACGTGTCATTTCTCTAGGACCAAAGCTACTGATTGTCAGACTGCGGGTCTCATGCTTTCACAACTGCCAAAAGGCAAAGAGGGAAGGATATTGTCCCTTTGGGTTTTATAGAGGGAAGCAGGGCCCTGTTCCTGAAAAGATGACATACAGTGGGTGGAGGTGGGAGAATGGGGTGGTCCTCCCAAAGGAGACTGGATATTGCACAACCAACAATAGCAAAGACAGCATTAGTTTGCACAGGGAACTTCCTGGTTAAGATGAATACACTAGAAATTTCAATCTTTATAGTAGGTCGATAGAATGCAAAATGATTTTGTAGGGGAAATAAATAAAGCAATAGATTTGCAACAGTTCCTTAAAGATGGGATATGGTTGAGGGGTGGGTATAGCTCAGTGGCAGAGCACATGCTTAGCATGCAAAAGATCCTGGGTTCAATCCCCAGTACCTCCATTAACAAAAAAATGAATACATCAGTAAATAAATGAGTAAATAAGGGATATATAGCTGGCATGTGCCTTTTGCTCTCTTTCCCCCTTCTCCTTCCTGTCTGAAATATGGACATAATGGCTGGAACATCAATTAGACACATTGGGATCTTAACAATGGACACCATGAAACAAAGATGGCTGACTAGAGAGACTAAAGGCTTCTGTGTCTTTGACAATGAGGGAGGCACAATACCAGCCTTCACGTTCCTGATACACAAGTGAACCCACGTGTGTTCACGGCACTGTGGTCTGGTCTCTGTTACTAACAGCTGAACACAATTCCTAATAGATAGAGCTATTATTATTATTATTATTATCTTGATTGTTATGTTGGCCACCAGATTGAGTCTTTGGCAGCCTGGCTATTGTTCACTGATTTCAGAATTCCTGTCACTCTCTATGCTCTCCAAAAATAACTGAGAGGTGGATAGTAATTTTTTTTTAACAAAAAAGCGCTAACATGGATTGGTATAGACTTTTAAAAAGATTTTCACAATGCACTTGGAGAAACTAGGAGAGTCCCTGGCCTATAACTTGCTCCCTGGCAAGGGCTTTTCGCTACACAGAAGAACAATATTTTAGAGTATATTACATCCATTCGTTCATGATAGTGATGTGGGGTGGAGGTAGAAACTGAAGTATGAGCATCCCAAATAGATAGAATCTTAAAAAAGTAGTTTTGATTTCTGATTTTTTTTAGAATTTTGTATTAACATTTGAAAAATGTCTAGAAAATAAAATCAGCTTGTGAAGACTCAGCTTGGGGTAGGGCCATGCCAAGGTCCCTCTTCCTGGCATACCTCCGCTGGCACTGCCCAGTTCTTCCTGGTTCCCTTCGCCTCTGGCCTGGAGCACAGCCATCACCTCTCTCATGCCCGCCACATGTAAGCCAGAGACAGGCTGTCCTCTTGTTGAGAACTTCTTTCCTTCTTCTTCTTTTTTTTTTCTTTGTCAGAGGTGAGTTCTGGGTGGTGGTGACAAAAAATGAGGTCGAAGAGGGCTGCAGGTGCTGGAGAAGTAACTGAAAAACTGTTTAAAGTTAATGAAGTGTTTTGTTTTCTTTTTCTCCAGCTCTCGCTGGGTTGCAGGCTGCATTTAGGAATAACACTAAACACGTCGATAATATTGCATGGACGTTAAACAAAGGAATTAATTAAGGAGAGGAGGCGAAAATAGCACAGAGAACTTTAAAGGGTGGCTTAGCACAGATCATCCACAAGGAAAGTGTTGGCAATACAGAATATACTCCAACTGGCAGCAATTATGGTGTTAGCAGGAGCATTTACGCAGACGACAGAGGCTCTTTGAGACCAATATCTAAACCATGGGGAATGATGTAATCTTATTTTTCCCAGGTAAAGTTTTCTTATTTTCTTTTCAAAATAAGATTTCAGGGCTCGCTTGGGCAGCACATATACTAAAATTGGAACAACACAGAGAAAATTAGCATGGCCCTTGAGCAAGGATGACACACAAATTTGCAAAGTGTTCTGTATTTTTAAAAGAATAAAATAATGCCATTTGCAGCAACATGGATGGACCTGGAGATCACATTCCAAGTGAAGTAAGCCAGAAAGAGAAATAAAAATACTACATGATATCACTCATATGTGAAATCTAAAAAAAAAAAATATGCAAATGAATTTATTGATAAAACAGAAACAAACTCATGGACATAGAAAGCAAACTTATGGTTACTGGGCGGGAAGGAATAAGTTAGGAGTTCGAGATTTGCAAATGCAAACTACTGTATATAAAATAGATAAACAACAAGTTTCTTCTGTATAGCACAGGGTACTGTATTCAATATCTTGTAGTAACCTACAATGAAAAAGAATATGGAAACAAATATATGTATGTATTCATATAACTGAAACATTATGCTGTACTGCAGAAATTGACACAACATTGTAAACTGACTATACTTCAACCATAATAAAAATAATAAAAAGAATAGATTTACTGTGGACATTAGCTCAATCCTCACGTCCAAGTGGGAGTGCCATGAGCCATGCCACTAAGAGAACAGCCATAGAGGAAGCTGCCTGTAGAATCCCCACCAGAGAGCAACTCCCCTCAAATGATGGTGGAATGAATAATTTAAGAAAAAGAGAGAGAGAGATTTCAAGCTCCCAGAGGGCAAAGCACCCCCACCTTGTAGCACCTAGCGGAGAACCTCAACACTGCTTAACAAGTGTTCCATATTGAGTTTACAAAGACAGGAGCCAAGTGTTGGTAATTAGTTGACTACAAAGGATACTACGCGGCAGTTGTGGACTCCGGGAAGCCTGGTCCAGGGTCCTGCTGGGTGGGAAGGAAGGCAGCGTGGTGCCATCTTGCCAGACCAGAGCCAGAGCTGGGTTTTCTGCTGCCCAAGCTGTCCCTACACTTACCAATAATTGAGGAGTCGTCCCCAGCTGAAAAGTAAGTGTCCATCCTTGGCAGGGGTCTCAAGAAGGCTGTTTTCCTGAGTAGCCGAGGAACTCTAGGATAGAGTAAGGTCAGAGAATACAGGAGCCAGACACAAGTTTGTCCAGTCTGGACCCTTAGCCATCTGGAGGAGGGAAGGAGGAGTAAGCCTTTCTGGGTGGTGAAGAATAGAGGCACATTCTGGGCCCTAGAGGATGGTGATGCGTTGTGGGATGCAGGGGCCAGGGCGGGAGCACAGAAGATGCTGCAGGCAGACTACCTGCATCCCAGGAATGTGGTTCAGAGACAGCAGCCACTCTGGCAGTCTCTCCTTTTCCTGCGGTTCAGCTTCTGCTTCCTTTTAACAAGCCTATCCCATCGCGGACGGATCACGATGACCCTCCCTCTGTTCAGTTTCTCTACCCCTTCGGGCTGCTCTTCACTCGTAACTTCAAACCCCACGTGCCTGCTTTATTTTTGTCTGAAGTTTCTCAGCTCTGCCCTCCCGACAGCCCGACTCGGAGGAGACCCTAAGGCCAGTCGAATCATCGCTCAGGATGGAACCTTCTTTGAACCTGGTCTTCCTGCCGAGTCATGTCGTGTGATGAGTCAGAAGCCTGTTTGGTCTCGCAGATGGGGCTTTGGTGCCTGAATCCTACCATTCATTCTTTCTCCCCTCAGAGGTTCCCTGCTAAGGGAATATGTCAGAAAGAAAAAGAGCTAAATGGAAAGCAAAACACTTTTTTTTTATTAAGCATTACCTTGTCTACCACACAATGGTAAAAACCGCCTTGGAAAATATGCCTTAAACTGGGAATGTTCAGAGAGGCTTCCAACTGCCGCCCCCTGAGTCTTTCCATCCAGGCTTCTCAGGTGGAGACGCTGGAATGGACAGGATGGAGGAGGTGGGGCCAGGCCTGACTCAGGGACGTGGACCCTGCCAAGTGGGAAACGTCCAGTATCATCTGAGAAGCCGGACCCACTTACGGAATCAGCTGGTTGGAAGATCCTGACCATGAAGGCACAGTTACCCACATTGGATGTGACCCTCTTAAGGCTTCACTGTCTAATCTGGGAGCCGCTAGCCACATGTGGCCATTGGACACTTGGAAACATGGCAAGCTCGAAGTGAGGTGTCTCGCATGTGTGTAATACAAACCTGATTTTGAAGACTTAGTACAAAAGAGAAGAATGTAAAATACCAGGTAAAGAGAGGGTATAGCTCAACTGGTAGAGCACCTGCTTAGCATGCACAAGGTCCTGGGTTCAATCCCCAGTACCTCCATGTAAAAAGTTTTTTTTAAAAATGTAAAGTACCTTATTAATATTTAGTATATTGCTTTATCTGTTTAAATGATAATATTTTAGATATGTTGGGTAAAATAAAATCTATTATTAAAATTAATGTCACATGTTTCTTCTTCCATTTAAAAAATGTGGTCACTGGATAATTTCAAATTATATGTATGGCGCCCATGACATTTCTGTTGGACAGTATTGTCTTAGTTCAAGTGTGTCAGCTGTGTGGGGAATGGGGAGGAGGGAAGTGGAGAGAGGCAGGGCTGCAGAGGGGAGGGGCAGGAGCGGGGCTGCTTGCTGGTTTAAGTCAGCAGTGGCCAGGGTCACAGAATCACACGATCTAAAGCATGGCAGCCCCTGGGGAAGTACCTGCTCGTGGCTCCTTTGCTCAGATGTAGACCCTGAGATGGGCAGGCAGCTGGGCGTCTCAGATTCTTCTCCATTATAATTAAAGTTATCTGACTTGTTCATCAATTCAACAGACCTTTATTGAACTCCTTGTATGTGGTGACACTCTTCTAGGCTCTGGGAATACAGTCTTGGGTAACAAAAGGAGAATCTGATTTTATGGAGTTGAAAAAGGGTGATAAACAAGAAACTCAGTCTACCGGTGCCATGGGAGATGGTGCTGTGAAGCAAACAAGGCAAGGTAAGGGTCCAGAGAGCACATGGGGAGGTGGGGGTGCTGTTTTAGAGGGTGGTGAGGGGAGGACCTCACTGGCATTTAGTGGAGACTCGAAGAAGGTGAGGAGAGCCCGGAAGATACCTGGGGGAAGAGAGGATCCCTCAGCAGGAGCACACTTGGTGCGTTCAAGGGTGAGGCAGGAAGGCGGTGGGTGTGTCTGGAGCAGTATGTGCAGAAGTGAGGGCCCTGGGTCGTTTCCTCAGATCGATGGGAAACCATTGGAGGGAATGGAGCAGAGCAGTGATGCTATCTGTCCAGATCTTAAAAGGATAAGTCTGGATACCTACTGAGAATAAAGTGGACAGACAGGTCTGGAAGCAGATAGCCTGGTTACAAAGCCATTGCAGTTATCTGAGAGAGAGACAGCGAGGACTTAGACCAGGGTGGCATCAGTGATGGACGGGATTTGGGGGAAGAGCTAAAAGGATTTGCCGATAGATTGGATGTGGGGTACAGGAGAGGGCAGGAGACAAGGATGACTCCAAGGGTCTGGACCTGAGCAATTAGATGGATGTTGTTCCCATCAGCTGAGATGGCGGGACTGGGAGGAGAGGCTTAGGGAAGACGGGATTCAGTTTGGGAACCATTAAGTGCGAGATCTCTAGCGGACGTGGAGATGAAAAGGAAATGGCAGGTCGGCGGTTGGTTATGAGCCTGGAGTTTTGAGAACAGATCAGGGCTTGAGAAATAAATTTCTCAAAGCTTGAGGAACAAATGAGAGTCACAACATAGAGATAATATCTAACAACCTAAAAGATCACTTGAGGAGTGAGTACAGATGGAAAAGAGACAGCTGCAGCCTGGGACCACTTCTCTGCTGAAGGGTGGGGAAGATGCGGAGGAAATAGCAAAAAACACCAAAAGAGAACGGCCAGTGGGATACGAGAGGGAGCCAGGGGACCAGTGTCCTGGAGGACTGGCCTTCACATCCAGTCTGTCTGAGCCCAGAGATCACACTTCACTGCCCAGCGTCTATTTTAACACTTACCGCAAAGACTTGATGTCTGTCTCTCTCCTGCATGTATCCCCAGGTCTCATACAGATTCTGGCATTTAGTAAGCTCAATAAATATTTGCTGAATAAATATTTAAGAGGAGAAAGTGTGGTCTGGCATTTTTTGTTATTTAGTTTTTATGTGCATTGAAAATGAAATTGCTTATGGGTTTTTTTTTTTTTAAAAAACAATCTCTTGGGTTAGGGGGAGGGAATGAGGGACGGTGAGGGTGACAATGGGGGTGCCAAAGGGGTGCCACGGAACACAGCCTCGGTCCCACTCGGTCCCGTGCACAGGAAGAAAGTACAAGGACCTCCTGCTGCCATTGTAACTGACAGACCACGTGCAGGGTGAAGTCGCCAGCAGGCCACCCAGGCATTGCCACCGTTGCAGTCACTCCCACGGCGACTCAGGCATCCTCGGGCTTGGAGCTCAGCCCTGAATCTGCACGAAGCACAGTTCCCTTAGGAAGGCTGGCGTCTCCCTGAAAATCAGACTCCTCTCTGTGCTCAGCCAGGGTGGCCCGATAGTTGCTTTATTACTGATCAAACAGGGCTCTACAGAGAGCCACCCTGAGATGAGACAAATCTTAAAAGACGCCCTTGGCTAACTAGGGCCGCTGTGATTCAAGTCAGAGACAAGCCCTGTGCTTATTTCGGAACCAGAGGCCTGACTGTCAGACGGATGCTGAAGAACCCTCTATCTGACTGCGCTGCATCAGGGACTCTGTGTAGCGCCAACCCCAGGCTGTAACGCTTCTACTACTGTGATCAGAGCGAACCACACCCACAACTCTTCCCAGACCACGCCTCCTCCCCTGGCGACACCTTGGTTGCGTGGAAGAAGGCAGCCACTGGGGTATTTGCAAGCACCCAGGTGTTCGGCAGCGGGCAGTGAGTCCTCATGGAGCCAGCGTGGGGCTGTAGCTTCCCGCACGTGTTTTACGGCAGACGCCTCCCAGCTTCTTAGCCCCAGTTCCCAGGGAGGACGCAGACTCATTTGGAAGAAGGCCTACTTGGAAAAGACGGAGCAAGAGAAATAGGGACATCGAGCAGGTGTTTCTTAGCCTTTTCTCCATTTTCTCTGCACAGACTTTGATCCATGCTGCGAATG